GTGTACTATGTTAATTGTTAATAAACACGCGTAAAAGAACATCTGGTGACCACATGACCTGGACTGCAGGAATATTACAGCCGAACTGTTATCCCGTGGCTTTAAAATAAATGTACTGAAGTGTGGAAAGTCAGAGGGTCAATTCACTTTTAAAGCAATCCAGTATGGTGTATTCTTGCCAGATCCCTTACCTAAGATAACCATTAACTGTTCAATTCTGTATGTATTTAACTTTTGTACAAATTGCATGATTCAAATACTCAAATAAAGCACAATAATGTAAGTGTACTATGTTAATGTAAAAGAACATCTACAGGTGACCACATTTACCTGCATCGTGCTGTGCATCATTGCAGGTGAGGCAGCGTTGGACCATGCAGCAGGAAGGTCATATTATTCATTGATCTCAGGTTGAGCTGCTGATATGGATGGATTCCTCTGGATTTCTGCAGGCCTTTCTGGACGTGATGCACTATTAAAAAAGGGGGGGATAAACCAGCATCATACTGGGAATGATGGGCCTTTTATAGAACACTGTCACCCCTCACGGCCCCACTGCCAGGATCAAAAGAGAGGACGTTTGGAACTAGGAGATGTGAATTGAGATGTTTATCAAATCAAGTTTTATTTATACAGCACATTTAAAAGCGATTTTAGGTCGAGCCGAAGTGCTGTACATGTAATAAAAACACTTTACTACAATCACAATAAAAGACAGAAATATAAAAAACAAAAACACAGGGAAAAGTCAGGTGTCGTGCTCCGCTCTGACTAGAAGGCCAGGGAGAAGAAGTGTGTTTTAGTGAGGATTTAAAAACCCCTATAGGGTCTGGGCCGACCTCACATGGAGGGGCAGACTGTTCCAGAGCCTAGGGCCAGCTGCTGCGAAGGCTCGGTGCCCTCGGTCACTCTTTTTGTGGCCAGTCAGAAGACGTGCAGCTGCGTTTTGGACTAGCTGCAGGCGTTTGATTGAGGCCTGGTCCATACCCACATAGAGCGTGGCAGTAATCCAGTCTCGAGGTAACGAAGGCGTTAATAACCCTTTCTAGGTAAGATAAATACAACTTGGCCAATAGTCTTATTTTTAAAAAGCAGGATTTGACTACGGTGCTGACCTGCTTGTTGAATTTAAAAGTGCTAGTGAAGGTCACTCCAAGGTTCATGACAGAGGGGAGGATGTTTTCATTGAGAGCCCAGAACCGGAGAGGCTTTGAAGACAATCAGTTTATAGGCTCGATGTAAAGGAGAAAAAACAAGAAACGACATCATGCATTTTGATTGTGTGCAGCTAAACACACACATAATCAAACAGCCTCCTGGTAGATGTCATTAGGTCAGTTTTCCTCCAATGAGCCGACTGCATATATAAAGAAGGACTGTGATTGGCTGCCGGGCTGCACAGTTCACCCAGCTGGTCACTCACATGGGAGAGAATTAAAGGCTAAACATGGAAGCAATTTTCTTCCAAGATTAGCCTGTGAGGACACTAAGAAAGAAGCTTTACGTCACTACATCTGTGGGTACTTTCTTCATCAATATTTGCTTTTAAAGTCCTTTAGGTTTTGATTCACATAAAGGATGGGAACTACTTAAGACACAGAAGAAAAAGAGTCTACAGAAAATACATGAATAAATGTGCTTTATGTTTCTTTGCAATTATATTTCGACAGACTGAAAGATTAGAGCAAAGTAAAACCGATGTGCTGTGAAAGGATTCTCCCATTGGTTACTAAAGAGAGCCATCTACTGGTGAACTACCCACACTCAGACACATGTACTTCTCCATGTGTGTATGAATTGATTCTTGAATTTCCAATTATAATTCTTCAAAGAAAGATCACCACCGGAGCATTACGCTATTACTCTGTGCCTTCAGTCAAGGCTCCATGGTGCAAATCCATAGTGTTTGTTTGGCCATTACTCAGACTCAAACGTTGGGATAAGTGGCTTTATGTTCTTGCGAGTCCATTAAGTGGCCCACGGTACCCTTGGCCCTTTCCTAATAAAATGAGGAATGAAGGATTGCCCGTTAGCAACAGCTGATGTGACAGCAAACAGTAGGATGAAGGTCGCTCTGATGGAAATGCAACACAACCTGAAAGTCATACATGGTGCTCAGCATTCAGCCTCAGTAATGGCCTTCATGTCATTTGTCCGTGCATTAAAAGCAATCCAATGTACTGCTTTATGGCTTTCATCCAATGAGCCATTCAACAGCACTGACATGGAAGGAGTAGAGAGGACAAGCCGCTAACATTTAAAATAATAGAGAAACACACGGAGACTTTGTGATTAGGACAAGAGCGAATCTGCAAAAAGAAATGAGAATGAATGTTTGTTTTCAATCCACAACGGTAATAATAAGGAGTTGTTTATCTAGAAGACATATGTTACCATTGGGATGGAAAGCAAGACGGAGATATGACATTTGTGTGGGTTTCAGTTAGTGAAGATTTACGATTTATTTAGCCAAATCCACACATCTGTTTTCATAGCACACATTTGCTTTAAAACGAAGCACAAACTCTCCCATTCAAATCAAGATGTCTTCCATTTTCCTGAAATTACACTCAGGATTTTACCTGAATATGCAAATTAATAATGTGCATAAAAACAGGAGGATGGAAACGCACCTAGAGAGCCCGGCAGTGCCTCAGTCAGTAGGGGCTTGGACTGGGAGCCGTAGGGTCGCCGGTTCAAGTCCCCGACCAGACCTAAATATGGAGTGTGGACTTGGAGAGGTCCCAGTTCACCTCCTGCCCTGCTGTGGTGCCCTTGAGCAAGGCACCGGACACCCCCCTTCCCCCCTCATTCCCATTGCTCCCCCGGCGCTGTACAGTAGCTGGCTCCTAGTGCTGGACTCCTGGTTCTAGGATGGGTTAAAGCAGAGAACACATGTCACTGTGTGCTAAGTGCTCTGCATGCGTGACCATTACAGAGGCTTTCATCCCTTCTGATTCATCTATTCTAATTCTACACCTATAGTGTCTCTCAATTAAATTGTGAAGCTTGTGACAACAAACAAAAAACTCATCACACACACTGTCTTTTCCCCTCTGGCTCATTTCCTGGAGAGATGTTGGATCTAGTGCCAATGCAGTGTGATGTGTTTCAAGGTGACGCTGACCCTCGTGGAGAGAAGGAGGGGAAGCCTCTGAAATCCCATTACCCAGAGTTATTCTATTGCCATCAGCAGTGTTGGTCCATCAGCAGCGCGGCTACTGTTTCCAACAATTGCTCCCTCACTAATTCTATCGCTGCTGCCAGACTCGCTCGGGGTGTGGACATTAAACTCAATTTCCATCTGAAAGTGACGGCATAATGGCTGACAATGCAATTTGAGGTAATGCGGGTGTTCAGGTGGAAATGTCACGGGAAGAGGAAACAAAAACAAAACATTGAAAACAAAACGTTTGTACGTGTTAAGCATGACCTGTTTTGCAAAGATAAAGGTATACTTAAGAGTTCAAATGGGGATTAAAGGGGATACATTATAGGAAAGCACAGGTTGTGGACACACTGCTGTTGGCTGAAGCAAATCTATTCATAGCTAAGGAAAAGCGAGATTACACCGGATACATGAAAGACAGATTTATTATAAAAGTGATTAGTGATTAAGAATGATTCGTTATTCTCATTTCAGTGGATACTTTAATTGTCAAGTGAATAGCTAACTGATGCAAGCAGCTATGAGGAAGGATGCAAAGATATTATTCAAAATATATGAATTTATTCAGTATTTGAATGAAAATGTTTCACAAATCGTCAAAAATGTTTTTAAACTGCACATTTTCCTGCATTTACAAAATATAATTGATACATTTCTGTTGAAAAAGCATCAGATTAGTCTAAAATAATCCTAGCATCCTGCTTTTGTTCCAGGTTCAGTAACTTGTACCGAAATACTTGTTGACTTTGTCCACAGCCACATAGACAGCTAAACTGACGACAACAAAGCGCGTCTGTTCCTTCACGAGTTGTATCTCCACCCGACCCTCTGAGTCCTGATGGAGGATCAGGAAGTGCTCCCCGTCGTAGTCGTAGCAGACGGGCGTCTCCTGCAGCTGCACGGACACCGCAGCGCCGACACACCAGAACTTTCTCTGATAGAAATCCACCAGAGTCACACTCAAGACGCAGCAATTCTGAAGCAAAATGTTGAGGAAGTATCAAGATGATTTCAGCCATAAGAACATGTGTCCTACTTAGCCAGATAAAAGAGGGGATGATTGTATCGTTTCACAGTAAAAGAAGTGAAGTGACTGTAGCTTGTTGTTTTGTATTTTTGAAGAGTGCCTAATGAAAGCTTGAACGTTGTTTTATGTCATTAACCCTTCGATGCCCTGAGAGTGGCTGGACCCTACACTCGTCCATAAGTGGGTCAAAAGGGACCCGTATTAGAATAATGTGTTTTCATGCCATTTTGGTCATTTTGGTTAAGAACACTCACTTGTATAATATTTAGTATTATATTTTGGTTCACACTAGAAATATTTTAGATTTAATGTTTCACTATTTATAATTTTAGAAAAAAAAATTACATTTTGAAAAAAAAACGTTTTGAACATTTCGATGCAAAGATCTCCGGTATTCTGAGACCCTCACAGTATTCCAGTCCCTTTTCAAAACTCTTCTCCTCTTGTCTACTCAAAGCCCCCCCCCCCCATCAATCCATGCCGGTTAATCAAGTCTGATAGTCCTACACCCCCCACCCTAACCTTCCATTATATTGTAAAGCGACTGTGAGTCCTTGAAAAGCCCTATACAAATATAATGTATTATTATTATGATGATACTGACAGGTTTCAGATCTTGCTGTGTAAAGTTATCTTCCTGAGAGGTGTCACTTGTGATGTCGTCTGTGTGGTCCACAGTGAATGTGTTCCTGACAGCCACATGTGATAAGAATCAAAGGTTCCCATAGGAAATGCATGCGGGTCATTTTTGACCCACTTATGGAAGCTTGGGGTAGAAATACAAAAACTACAATTTGTTAAAATGTAAATTTAAAATGTGAACGGCTTGATATCCAAAACATGTTTTTTGAGGAATAGCTGGAATATGAAATGATAATTTTTTTTACAAAGACCCACTTATGCATCTAAGGGTTAAAAATGATAAGAGTTATCTTTCCGGAAGTCATGTGACCTCTAGCCCCGGATGTTGACATTGTGTTTGAGTAATAACGTGCCTTTCTACTGCTGGTCTACTCGGCGAACACGTTTCCACGGTGTTTCATTCAGACTGTTCAAAGAGATAAATAAACGTGATTGTGGACATCAGTTCGATGTGTAATGTTCTTTCAAGACCAGAGTAGTTACAGTGACTGTTATTTTGTATATATTGATTGATGTGCTTCATGTCTAAATGTGTGATTTTAGGTATATACATATTTTTATACATATTTGTATTTTTGTATTCTGGATTGTGGGAAACGGTATTTCGATCTCTCTGTCTGTTCACACAAACGGAAAGATTGACAATCAAGTTGACTTTGACTAAAAGCGGCATCTCTGTTTCAGGGTCGGTCAAGACAAACTCAAGACGCAGCAATTCTGGGAAAATGTTGAGGAATAAAAAAAGTAGTAAATAAGTAATAACTGTATTAATAAAATAGGGACTGTAAAGTTTCACAGTAAAAGCAGCATCTCTGTTTTTGTGGGTAACATCCTATAATGTTTCTCGCCAAGATATTATTACAAATATATTAAAGGGGACCTATAATGCAAAATGCACCTTTGTACGTCTTTTATACACATGTGTCCCCGGTGTTCCAGGGCACTCACCAAGAGTCAGAAAACACAACCCTCTCTATCTTCCTCCATACTAGGGGTGTAACGGTTCACAAACATTTCGGTTCGGTACGTACCTCGGTTTTTAGGTCACGGTTCGGTTCGGTACGTTTTCGGTACAGCAGAAAAAATTATCACAAAACATAACGTATATTTTTTAAATTATTATTAAACTGTGAATATTCACTCAAATAAATACAAAATATAATAAAATAAACATTAAGGTGCAGCTTTTCGATTAACTGAAATAATCTGTATTTGAACTGTACTGTTCCTAAGCAGCCAGCTTGACATCAGGACTTGCTTGTCATTGTATTTTCATGTTGTTCTAAAGAAATATGAACTTGTCCACATTGCTGCTGAAAGGGCAGATCTGCTGGCACTAACAATGTCTCCTGCTGTGGAGAACACCCTCTCTAGGGACAGAGGTAGCAGGTACAGCCAGGTAGCGCTTTGCTACCATGGCAACATAAGGGTATTTGACGTTTGTAATAGCTTTGGCTCGGTCTGAACTCTCTGCGAGTGGTGGAGGCTTACATGCTAGTGGGAGTTGGGTTTGCACTTAAGTCTTTTGGTACCGGTGATATTCATGTTCGGGTGATGCCTTTTCAAATGAGTGTGCAAGTTTGATGTGTCGCCAGCCGCGTAACCTATTTTAGTTGAACAATGCCGACAAACAGCTTTGGTTCGGTCCAGCTGTCTTTGTCCGTCATCCTTGTTCGTAACTGCGCAACCAAAATGTTCCTAAACCGGAGACTTCAATGATGCTGGAGGATTTTCGAGCTCAACTTTATCTGCGTTCGCCATTTCGACAGTTCCTCAAATTACTGACTACATTTGAACGCATCCCTGTGACCCGCTCTCATAGTATGCCTCTCATCCAATGAAATGACTTGCTCGCTCTATGACGCGTTGAACCCAATGTGAGCAAATTACACTGAACGCTGCGACGCAGCACCTGAGATTACTTCCAAGAAGTTGTTCAATTTTTTACGTTTAACGTTATATTAGTTCGGTACACTTCGGTACACATGTGTACCGAACCGAAGGGCCCGTACCGAATAATTTCGGTAGGGTACGTGTACCGTTACACCCCTACTCCATACCCAAATCTCTTAAAAAGGGGCTGCAACGGATCTGATACAGACTGATCCAGATTTGAACACTTTTCTGACGTCAGGACGGTGGCGCTACGGCTATTGGGCCAACTCCACCAATCAGGAGGAGACAGCCACGGACATTGCCGTTCGAAAGCGCTGGAGATGCTGTAGTACATATTTCAGGCCACCAGATGGCGCTGTTCTCACTGAATGAAAGGCAGTGTTAAATTGAGCGAAATGAGGAATGGATAAAATGCATGATCTGTTTGGTATTTTGAAAAATAAAACGTATAAATATACCTTATATAGGTATGGCCCTACAATATGTTATTCAAATATAGCATGATAGGTCCACTTTAATGTATTCAGCATTTGAATTGAAAATGTTCACAAATCATCAAATACGTATTAAACTGCATATTTTCCTGCATTTACAAAAATATGATTGATGACATTCCTGTTGAAAAAGAATCCGTTTAGTTTGAAAGTGTCCTGCTGTAACAGGTTCAGTGCCGCAGTAAAAGCAACCTCTCTGTTTGGCTCTTTTCACTGTGATGTCAGCGATGAGAAAATAACTGAATTCTACTTAACGGGATAACATAGAGCAGTGGTTCTCAAATGGGGGTACGCGGACCCCTAGGGGTACGTTGGAGTACTGCAGTGAGATTTATTTTATGTTAATGAAAAAAAAAGTAATGCATTTAAACAAACTACTAATAGTAGATGAACTACGTGCTCTCTTTTCCTCTCCCTCTCCTGACAGCCCGTCAGTCTCGTGCAGCTCACTGAACCTGTAATAAGTGACCCGACAGTAAAGAATACATATATTTATAACTAGTTTACTAGTTCCAGAGTAGATGAACTAGCTAAGTGTGTTAGGTCTAACTCAGCGGGGGAGCTGTGATCATGCAGAGCTGCGTGTTTCTCAGTTACAAGGTTGTTGTTTTAATAAATCAGACACTGATGGTGCAGCGCTGTGCTGTACCTCTTTATATAGGCATTTCTTCCCTAACAAATTGTGTTTGCGCTGATCAGGGGGTACTTGAATGAATATTTTTTTCAAAGGGGGTACATTATTCAAAGAGGTTTGAGAACCACTGACATAGAGAATGATTGTGACGTTTCACAGTAAAAGCCTTATCTGTTTCAAAATAACTTCTTGTCAGAATCGTACTAGGATGTGTTGGGCATGCATTTCTCTCTTAATAATAACAACCATAGTAGAGTACATGTGTATAGCGCCTTCAATAGACCCAAGGCCGCTTTACATGGTGAACAAACACCAAACAAGAGGGGCAAATAATAAAGTACAAATTGTGACTGTGATGGGTTAGGGGTCAAAGGCCATGGTGAACAGGTGAGTTTTCAAGTACCCAGAAGTACCTGCACGTTGCCCTGCAGAGACTCACAGCTCCAGGGAAGACTGACGCTGCCGGACAGACGCGTGTGCTGCGATGGGTTTGACCTGCTGATGGCGCTCAGACGCATCAAACCGTCACTGATGTCAGCTGATCAGAGAGAAAAACACACTGGAGTTCATCTGTTGAAGAATCATTTGACATTTTGTAAAAGGCTAAAATCATCAGACTAAAAACATTTGACATTTCAGAAGAGCGTGAGATGATGAAAAACATTTCGATGGATTTCTAAATATGAGCAATATAATAACTGTCATATGCAATTAGGTTCTTAGTGGTAATAACGTTTTTGTTGTTTTATATGCTCGTACATTATGTGTAGAATAGCACGCTGTTTGAAAATGAAATACAAGAACATACATATTGTCAAGATCTGTCTGTGTTGTATTTTGTCTTTTTCTGTCTTTTGTTTCATGTTTTATTTTGAAAGGTCTTCACTTCCTGTCTTGCCTGTTTCTGTCTGCGTTGTGTTTTGTCTTTCGATCTGTCTGTGGTTCCCTGTCGTTAGTTTCCCTGGTGTGTCTGATTACTCGAGTGTGTTCACCTGGTGCCCCTGTGTTTTCTCCTCCCTCCTCACCCGTGTCTTGTTTGTATAATTAGTCTTGTGTGTATTTAAGTTCTGGTTTGTCTGTCTTTGTCGGTTCGTCTTGTGTTTTGACTTGGTCTTCGGTGAGTGTTCTGTTCTGTCTTTGTGATTAGTATAGCCTTGAAATAAAGGAGATATTTTTGACACGTTAATCTGCATTTGGGTCCTGCTTCCTGCACACACCGTGACGGATATGAAGGCAATGTTTTTAAGATAAAAATACATATTGGTAGCTTTTTTGCAATGTGCGTTTTAAACAAATATGTGTGTATTGAATTTGTACATATATCACAGTTATTGGGCAAATGATATATAACTAGATGAGTGCAAATGATAACAAGTTGTAATGTTCCATGGAGGACAGTAACAAAGTTCATTGTCCTGAAAAGTAAAAAGCATTTTTGCCTGTTGCCCAAGATTAACAATAAGTATGAATTGTAAAAAAGACTCAGCACCTGATCCTAAGTAAGTGTATGAATGTTGTCTGCTCCAGAGTTCTCATACAGTACAGTAGAAAGTGTGACTTAGTGATTGTTGGCATAAATAAACGACCTTTCCGGCAGAAGAGCTGGGAGAAGTTTTCGGACATGATGTCGCACGTAGTGTCGTTGAGAGCCACGTGAAGCTGGTAACCATAGAGGCCGTGTTCAGAGTCAACGTCGTTACAAATGGGTTTTAAGATCGGGCTACAGGAAGACAGAGAAAGACAAAAAGGTAAGACTGCAGCGAGTGAAGGAACAAGGACTTCATTAAGAAGGCATTTCAGAGGGTCTTCTGGAGTCTGTGACATTGTGATCTCACAGTAAACCAGGAGAGGGGGCTATGTCCACGTTGTGCTGGAGTCACAGGCTGACAGGAGAGGTAGCTGCACTGCTCCCTGCTTTTTCTTTAGATGTCCGTACAAATAAAAAAGTGAACACTGTATGCTTTGACCCAGTGGTTTCTGTGGGAGAAACCTCTGAAGCAATAGGAGTCAGGACTCGGAGAGACACGAGGAGAGCTGGAGCTTTGATGGCAAACACCGACGGTTTATTTGGAGCTTTTGAATTCACAGACATGTCACGGTCTGACCACACGGTAGAGATGCCACAATCAATCCTGAAGAGCCCTCCTGTAGCTCCAGGTTTGAACTAGTTCAGAGTGTAATGATCAACATTCTTCAATAGATAGACTGAACAGCTGAGGACACTGAATCACAGTTGTTGTCGCTTATGGCTCGGGGTCTTCTACACCCCGAGAAGGATGTGTTCCAGGTGTCCCACAGCTATAACTATCTCTGACCCTCCTTACGGGGGATAGCGGCTGCTCGAGGTTGGTCAGCTGCGTCACAGGGCGAAGGAGGACATGCAGGGCGAACTGTTCCCCAACAGTATCCAACATTTGTGACTCTTGACATGATGTCTACCTGATTCCCCTTATCGCATGATTTTTGGAAGCTTCACTTTGGGTGATGGTATCCAGTATGTTTAACGAAAGAGAGCAAAATAAAAAAACGACATCAAATGGAAAGAGTCCCCTTTGCTGCTCTTGTACATTTTATCTGGCTTGAGAGTGAGGTGAGCATTTTAAAAAGTTCCGCTTTATCACCCCCCTTTAATTGGATATGAATGAGACTTGGTGTCGATGTTAAGTACGTGTTACTCGATCAGTCCGAGTTATCAATCAGGATTGCCTCATTTAAAATAGATCAGATTCATACTTTGAGGGGCATGAACTGTGAGGGAATCATTTTGTCTTTACTCCTAGATATTTAACCTTATTGCCTGTTGACGTTAATAACCAACCAATATTCTGTTATCTCCTTTACGGAATGTGCTCCAGCACTTAAGTGTCAGTGTTATGGCCTGATAGGGGGGTTTACGACTGTGAGAACGCTGGCTTCTAAACACCACTGACAAGTGATTGAGTATTTCTAGTTGGGGGATAATCTCCTGTAGCTCCACAGATGTTTACGCCTCCCCCAATATGCTCATTAACTCTCTGTAAACTAGTTAAAAGGTCTATCGAGAGATAGGCTGATCAGAATTGACATGACAACCCACCCGTGCAGTCAGAACCTTTTGCTGCTGTGACTTGTGATATGAATTCTCCGGCTGTTGACTTGTAATAAACTACCAGTGTTTGACATCAAAGCTCCAACTCTCCTCGTGTCTCTCTGAGTCCTGACTCTCCATTGCTGCACAAGTTTCCCTTACACGGCCTTTTGCAGATTTGCAGTTGTGTGCATTCATTACATCAACATCATATCTGGACATTTCCTTTGGGCCAAGTTCCATGTTTCTAGCTCGTTTCAGCTCAAGAGAAGGGAAAGACAACCTTTAGAGGTCACCCATCTATCCCACTGGTTTTTAATCTATTTCATTCAAACACTCAAAGTCGGCTTTTCAGAAAAATCCACTGCTTGCAATTAACACCCGCACTGTGTCGTGTCCTCATGGGAAAACTGGCCCTGACAAGAAGAACTTCTATATATGAAAAAGTGTGGTAAAGTCACTTTTTCGCACTGCTGGGTGAAATACAGGTGTCAGTGATGCTGAAGGTTTGAATCTCACCTGACTGCATCAGAGGCTCAAATCTGAGCCGTGACGCTGATACACTGCACGCCATGTGAGCGTGTGAATAAGGAAGGTGTCTGTTAAAGTGCAACCTACTGTACCAAAGAGGGTTCTCATTGGTGCTTCTCTCCACCAGCCTGTGGAAGTGGAGGGTGAACATGACAAAGGCCACGGAGCTCTGGTCCTGCAAAGAGACAAATCGCAAAATTACAACGTTTTTCAGCTACTAAAATCACATGATTACAAATGTGTAAAGTAGTTGCCTTTGAATTAATTTCCCTCCAGACGCCGATGATAATGCCAGGCTGAAGCAGCTTCAGTTCAACCAGTTTGTCCCGACCGATGATCTGCATGCGTTCAGCTACAGCCTGCATGTCTAACTTTAGCATGAGGAACCTGCGGCCAGGACTAAGAGCAAGAAAAGAGCGAGAGACAACCAGGAGACAGAATGCACTAAACTGCAACCAATGTAATGACAAGCCCAGTTAGGAGAGCTCACAGAGAGCAGCAATCTGGCAGCAGAATACGTTTTGACCTGCCACAACCTCAGGAGCAGTGAGACACACACACACACTTTTTATGTATCTCTTAAAGGTCACCCATCATGCTATTTTTAGGCAATAGGTCTCAGATATATACAAATATATAACAACATGTCTATGAAGTGTTTTGCTCCAAACACCAAACAGATCATTCTAGCAGTGCCTCATATCCCTCTATTCCACTTCCTGTTTCTAAAGTGCTGTTTGGGTATAAAGCTTTAAAGAGGAGGGGTCTGAGCTCATGCGGGACCCGGCAGCTACTGTCTAAACTAAATGCTGCCGTGATGAAACGCCATATCATGGATTATCAAGGATTCTCTCTGAAACAGTTTGGAGCTCAAAGGCTTTCTCTCTTGCCGGTTATACCACAAGGTGAGTTCCTCTTTACTTCCTGCTTCTTCACACACATGCTCTCCAGTACAGGTTAGCTCTGAGTGTTAGCGATGCTAATGTAAACACAGACCATATTACGTCCAAAACAGTCGGGCATTGTTTCTGATAGCAACGTTTCTGATTGGGCCGTGGGTCCACATTTCAGATATTACGTCATATCGGACTCAAATCTGGATCAGCTCCGTTGTTCCCCGTTTTTAGAGATTTGGGTACGGAGGAAAAGAGAGAGGGTTTTATTTCCTGACGCTGCGTGAGTTCCCCGACACACGGGGACACAGCGGGGACACATTGATGTATAAAAGACATCAGAAAGAGCATTTTGCATGATAGGTCCCCTTTAGAGCACTAAACTCCAGCATGCACTGACACAATATATGTATATATTTTTTTTATTATTATTTATTTTACTTAAACCGATATATTCCTGAACTTTAACTCTATCTGCAAATTGAAGTATGAATGCTTGTTGTTTGTATGTTGTCTTCTCCTGAATGTTGAATGTCTCTTGTTGGTTTTTTGTATTTTTGATGGCACCTTGAAAAAAGGAGTAGTCATCTCATTGTACCTCTATAGTGACAATACAGGTTTCTATTCTATTCTATATACTAATATATATATTATATTTGTATTTACTTTTTGCACGTTGTTGGCATATACAGTATGTTTTGTGTTATACCGTTGTGCCACATGTATTGTTGACATTTATGTTTAGTGTTTCTTTTAGTTGTGTTCTGTTGTAACGCCTTGTGCAAAATGCTTTGGCAATACTATGTTTCAAATGTGGTCATGCCAATAAAGCCCCTTTGCATTGTATTTGATTGAGAAGGTGCAGATGGCTGTCTTACGTCTTCAGACCGGGCAAGTTGAGGGCTATCCTCCTGACACCGTGCAGATGGAGGCTGGAGATCTTCTTGTAGTCGGACAGCTGGCCTCCTCCGCTCCAGCTCAGAGACACAGAAGTCTCACAGAACCGGCACCAGCTCGGCTCAAAAGTGCTCTTATGCCCCGACTTATCAGAGACTGTCAGCTCCCACGTGACGCGCAAGTTCCTGAAATAACATAATGCAGGTTTACAGCACAAATATATGACAGATGTTTGGCTAAAAAAGCATTGTTTGTATGCAGTGGGGGAAGTGTCTCGGCTCAGTAGCCTTGTTGACCCTTCTGTCTGCTATTCTGTCTCTATTGTTTTTCAAAAAGAACAGACAATATCTTCTTAAGAAGTGCAGTTAGTGACATTGTGGGCTCCAGGGTCACTTCAACAGCTCGACAGAGTAGCAGCGGTGGGCGGGGCTTAGCTTTTTTCAAGGATGCAGGATTTCATAGGTCACAGGCTCCTCCAACAGTGCAACACAATCAAACAGATAATAGTGCAAGTAAATAGAATAGAATAGAAATTGTGCAGAATAGTCGATATACAAATAATTGGAATATTGATATATCTTATCTTAAAGTCAATAATGAATACCTTCAAGCCCTGACCAAGTTTAAACGGGTGATTTATATTCAATCAACCTCATACAGTTGTCATAAAAAGCTGGAGGTAAATATACGGACTAAAACAGAAGTAAACATGTTTATTTCTGCTGTAAAGTCGGTCATTTTAACATGTGGTTCTATGGGCATCGACTAACTTTTGAAGCCAGTAGCCATTCCACATCGGCTTCAGTTTTCAGACTGGGGTTGGTATTTACTCACCTATCATTCCCTGAAAGCCACATAAAGACACCAGTGACTTACAATTGCATACAAACTGTGGGTTTTCTCTGGAAGTGTTTCCTTGTACGATGTGAGGGTCTAAGGACAGAGGGTCTAAGGACAGAGGGTCTAAGGACAGAGGGTCTAAGGACAGAGGGTCTAAGGACAGAGGGTCTAAGGACAGAGGGTCTAAGGACAGAGGGTCTAAGGACAGAGGGTCTAAGGACAGAGGGTCTAAGGACAGAGGATTCTAAGGGACAGAGGGTCTAAGGACAGAGGGTCTAAGGACAGAGGGTCTAAGGACAGAGGGTCTAAGGACAGAGGGTCTGAGGACAGAGGGTCTAAGGACAGAGGGTCTAAGGACAGAGGGTCTAAGGACAGAGGGTCTAAGGACAGAGGGTCTAAGGACAGAGGATCTAAGGACAGAGGGTCTAAGGACAGAGGGTCTAAGGACAGAGGGTCTAAGGACAGAGGGTCTAAGGACAGAGGATCTAAGGACAGAGGGTCTAAGGACAGAGGGTCTAAGGACAGAGGGTCTAAGGACAGAGGGTCTAAGGACAGAGGATCTAAGGACAGGGTCTAAGGACAGAGGGTCTAAGGACAGAGGGTCTAAGGACAGAGGGTCTAAGGACAGAGGATCTAAGGACAGAGGGTCTAAGGACAGAGGGTCTAAGGACAGAGGGTCTAAGGACAGAGGGTCTAAGGACAGAGGGTCTAAGGACAGAGGGTCTAAGGACAGAGGGTCTAAGGACAGAGGGTCTAATCTGTGATGTTGTATTTGCTGTAAAGTGTCTCTACTGTAGGCTGTTATATGTACAGCACTTTGGCTCGACCAAAAATCGTTTATAAATGTGCTATATAAATAAAACTTGATTTGATTTGATACCAAACATGTGTTTAAAGTCAACACAATGCAAATAATCCGGCTGTGTCGACCCTTGTTCTTTGAAATCATGAGAACTAGGGGTTTAAAGGCATGTCCTTTAACAGCAGTATGACTCCAGTTAAGCTGCTATCGTAATGAAATAAAATGCAACAGATTAAATGGAACCGCTGCTGTTGTGATAAATCTCTTGATCCAATTGTGTCACAACTGTGATTCAGGGCTGCCCCCCCACTGTGATGCAGCCCCTGCCTCGCTGAGGCTCCTTCCAATATCACAAAAGTGGAGCTAAAAACAGAAATGACCCAGGGGATTTCACTCTGCGTGTATGATGTCTTGTGAAATGATTATTACCCAGGTACATCGCATGCTCCTCAGTGTGTATAACACCTCCAGGGAATACTCATAGTTAGTGTGTGTGCATGACGGTGTTGTGGATGAGGAGTTGGGGGCCCTAAGTAATTTATTTCAACAATTCAGACAGCCTCTGCAAGGAACACAATTATGTCTCCTTGCCCTCTGTAGCACAGCGGCTGCCACTGAGCTCAGAATTGAGTGCTGCACGGTCTCTAATCAAAGGTTATAGGAACACAGCAGAAAGCGATGAGGGAGCTTCTCCTGTGAGTTCCCCTGAGAAAGACATCTCGCTCAGACAGAGACCTCCCTGCTCACCTTTAATAAGTGTCATTAACTGCGATATGAAAAACAAAGAGTGGTTTGTTTTCCGTGGCCGGCGGCTTGAACCGTCTTCTGGTTTCTACCCTTGAACTTTCCTGACAGCGAGGGTGGATCTCCAAAGGTTTACTGTTTGCTAACCAGCAGCGGCTCCATGATACAGAGCTGATGGAAAACATACCAAACAGAATATGCCATAAGGGGTGAAAGTATATTCACGTACCTCGTCACATTAGGGATTTAGAAGGCTGGCAATAATAATAATAATAATGCATTACAGGTGCTCAAAGCGCTTTAGAAGTACACATTACACATATTAGACATGTAAGAGTCATTACTGCGGACATTACCCACAGGGTGAAGTGTCTTGCCCAAGGAGACAACGGCCTGACGCAGTGGCAGCCGAGGCGGGGATTCGAACTGGAGTTCACCAACGCCCCTTGATCTGATGACCAACGCAAATGTTTTGTTTGGGCTATGTGTGTGATGTTTTATTATATCTGAGTATTCACTTGTATACTGTCTATTGTCATCATTATGTTGTTGTATGTATTTATTTTGGTCTATTCCTTATTTTATTGATTTTTCATTTTTTTATGTTTATTTTATTGTACATTTTATTTATTTATCTGTCTGTCATATGTTTGTCTATTCATTGGGGAGTACCACCTAGAGGGGGGGTGGGGTGGGGTTTGCAGCTTTTTGTCAGACAAACTGTATTTGTGAAAAACTGAAAAATAAAGTTATATATATGATATATTAAAAAAACAAGTATATTCATGTAACAATAGAGATCTAGATGTTTATCTATGTAAGTTTAGCATGAATACATGTTCCCTTTTGTCTTAAGTTTTCCACTTTGCATTTACATTATTGCAATTAGTTGATAGGACTTTTTCAAATATATAAACTCCATAATCCTAAACACACTTTACTGTGGTTTAAAGTTATCATTTGCTGCTTTATTCGTGCACTTGAGTAGATCATCACCCTTATGTACTCAATACAGAATCCCTTTCGTATCAGGAATTGTTTTGAAACGAGAATCGATTTTGAGTCAAATCGTGACACAAAGTATCAGGATATACAGAAAGACACATGGCACACAACAAACCCCCTTTTAGCTGCAATTAAGTAAAGCAGACAACTTTAAAATATAAAACTGGTTGACTCGAGGAGAAATAATGAGACCTGCGTAGCTAAGAGATTCAAATGCTTGAGAATACATGGTTAGCACTCAATTAGCTTAACTCACAAACACTTGGCAGGCTAGTCAATTGTCTGCTAAGGAACATCAAGGGCTTGGTTCATTAAACAAATCCAACACCTCAGGAGAAGCAGTTTCTTTGTCCTCTTACCTGAGGACCTGTTGTGTTCGGCTGGGCAGTCCAGTGTGACGGTTGAGGATTCCAAGATTACTTTTCAACGTCTTCGTGTCATATTTGATTAAAGAGTTGAAGTGCTGGTGCTTCCAGAAGTTCTCAGGAGGATCCTCTAACTCCATCCTGGACATCCTCTGCAGCAGCTCGTACGTGCAGTCACATTTCAGATTTCTCTTCCTGCGATGCTCTGCTTTGTGGATCTTTTCCCACAGAACACTGCATCGATGGAGGAAGGTGAGAGGTTGGTATTTGTTACATCTGATGTGTTAGAATGTCAGACCTGTGGCAACCTAACACATCAACATAACCCTCTGTCTTGTCATTGAATGCATGTCCTTCTGTTACGTGTGTGTTGGTTTAGGCAGCAATACTTGACCCCACTCTTAGTTAGGAGATGTCACGTACTAGTTTTCCATTTAAAAATACATGTAATCCAGTTTCTACATATTGTTCCCTGCTGGTAATGTATGTGTTAAACCTAAAAAGGTGAAGTCTTGAGGTGAGTGCCTGTGGTGAAGGCTGCTGTCTCTTTACAAAAAACATCTCAATATAACCAAATAACTTCCGTCTAAATCTTGTTGACTATATATTTAGACTAAACAAAATATTATACAAATGATTAGGAGACTAATGTAATAATCTGTCAATGGATCCTTTCACTCGACTGGTAGATTTTTCAATTGATTCAAGAAAATACGACTGAAAATCCTTGACAAGAGAAGGATCCATGACTTTGCGTTACATTCCTTAAATACTTGTGTATTTTAAGTTCAGTGTGTATTGCTGGTACTTACTTATCATTGGCGAGCTGATAGAAGACCTTGTTGACATGGCTGAGTGTGTAAAGAGCAGAGACATCCAGGTAGGACAGAATCTTCAACAGGATCTCCAATGGCAGCCTGCAGATAAAGACATGAAGAGGGTGATGAAGATGAGAAGAGACACCACTGAGTTATCTCTTTAGCGTAGGTGACTATTGACAAGCTACATATCAATCATTTCATAGGCTTCTGACAACAAAAAGAGAGTTGCTGCATAGCCTACTGTAAAAAGTACAACATTGGCTTCCAAAATGTAGTGGAGTTGAAGTATAAGGTAACGTAAAATGGAAATACTTTGGTAAAGTACAGGTTCCTTAAAAAGTACAGTACGTAAGTAAATGTACTTCAAGATATGACAACACTGATTACAGCCTACTTTCACCTGTATTGATTTCACTTGATCAGTCATTTGCAAATGTTTTAATGGCGGAAGTGTTGCATATGACACAGGTCAAATGATGTAATATATTACCTTTCCAGAAAGATTAAAGGTGATTTGTGAGCTCTTTTGAACGTCCGCAGTGCCCTGTATCTTACTGCTTTAGGTGCGGTCGCCATTTTAATTTATTTATGTATTTTTTTATTTACTCGGAAGTTGAAGCCATTAAGCCGTTTATTTTACCGCGCTTTTTAAGTCTAACGTCAAAAAATACAATGGAAACCAGTCACTACGTTTTAATCCACTATTAAGTGAACAAATATCGCTATTTGGGCACTTTTTGGTCGAAGAATAACCGTGTTTCGTGAATTTCCTAAACTCAGCGTCCAGTCGCCATGGTGACGTCCAGTCAAGTTCCGTCCGCGTGCAAAAACATGATTTCCGGTGGAGAGTGGCAAATAGTCACCTTCAAAATAAAAGCTTTTGTGAAGGACTCATTGCATATTTTAGAAAATAAAAGCGTGGCACACTGTAGAATTGGTGCAATTGTTGAAGGTGACTTTGATAATGAGAATGTGGACCAGAATAGGATTTTAATCATGTGCATAGCTACAAAAGCAAATAACCAGGTCCACTTAGTCACATTATATCCATTTTTGTCATCTATACTGGTTTACAATTGCCCTATTTTCCTTTCTCTTTCTCCCCTTCACTTTCTTCAACGTTCAAAGCCTATGATATGTGTATACAGTACACAGTATAGTGCTGACAATAACCCTCTATTCCTGTGTCATTTATCATTTAAGAAAAAGCTATTTAAATGTCACACAAACCCTAGTTCACCATCATTGATCAGGGTTTTCAGAAAGACAAAGCTTGGACAAAAGAGCCCCCTTAACTCATGTTGTCCCCAAATAAAATGTATTTTGGTCTCTGCAATTTGATTCCATACACACAAAGTAAAAGTACCTTGTTAGCAACAGAACTCCTCTTCAGGTGTTAGCCCGGCTCCAGCAGGAGACTAACAGGTAAGTCTGATAGTTATCTCCTCACACATGCTAGATAGGTGAGATTTAACCGATATAAGTCAAGAGAGACACAACGAAATTCACTATGGGGGGTTTCGTCTTTCAGAGCTGTTCAGAAATGAACTTGCTTGAGCGTTTGACCTCATTTCAAATTTGAAGCTGCATAATCATTTATAGCTGCACACTAGCAGATGGACAGGCAGGCAGATGGGCGGACAGATATTTGTCATAAAGTGGGTATTTTAAACTGTGTGAAGCATATGGTGAAGTGGGCACAAAGGGTTGGCCTCCTCTGAATGGCAGCAACATATTAAGTACAGAAGCATAAAAGCAAATTGGACTAACCTAAACTAACTACCTAGACATTTTAATGCTAACTTTTGGTGAATTTGGGAGGAATCTGCAGACACATATAGAGAAAGTTAGTCAAATAAACTGCTAAATGTCGATTTTGGATATTTTCTTTCCAATAATCTGAAAGGAGACATGATGGAAGCAATATAGCACAAAATCTCAAAATTGACCAGTGAATGAAGAACATGTTTTTCCCTGTAGTGTCTCGCCTAAACCAAAAACAAATCCAAGACATGAGAGGAATTATGATGTGTGAGTTATGTAATAAAACCCTGCTGATGCTGAGTCTATTCTTTGCAAAAGCAGATGGCTTGCTTTGAGAGCCATCACATAATCGACCTCCCCGTTCCTGGAAGCCAGTAGGCTCTGCTAGCTGTCAGGGGAAATCACCATAACGTCAGTCTGGCCGATCAGACAGCCTGATGGAAGTGAAGGCAGCCTCTAGTACAGCACTGCATGTAGGCCACATCCCACCCCTTGCATGTCCCCTGTACTTGACATTTGATGTTTTCTGTAGCTGTGTGTCCTTCTGAAGGCCTGGGGTCAGTTGTGGCTCTTGGATACCTGATGTCACTCTTCCGCATGGTTTGGCAGCCAGCACTGACAGTGCAATGTTTGTCAAACTCGGCTGAGAAAAAGGGGGAAGGATCACCACGTTTAAGTCTAAAATAACGTCTTCTCTGTGCTCTGCAAGTCCTGGATTGTAATCAAAGAATGCTGTATTTATGGAAGCCTTAAATTCTGTATTTGTGTGTCGAGGCTTTTAAAGTGTATTCATAGTGACATCAGAAGGAAACATATTTGTCCTCCCCGCCTATCCACTCTGCTTGCATGCATTCAAAATGCAGCTTTGAAGAAATATGTTGAAGGGGAATTTTCCTCCCAGTATTAACTGAAGTCTAAGACTAAAAGGTGCCTTCTCATGAAGATGTGAGTCCATGCATAATGTGGCCGGTTAGCAGATCTTTACGTAGGAAAATGACAGCTCATTAAAGGTCTAAAGTGAAGCTTCACACCTGTGAAGCCCTCTCTCAGACTCTTCAGAGGTGTGGGCTGTGATAGGGACCCTCTACACGGCTCTTCAAAGGATGATGACATGTCAGGGATTGAAAATAAAGGCCAAGGGTTGTGCAGAGAGGTGCGGGACATTTTCTGTGAAGTGCAGGGCATTTTCTCAAGTATCACCATGCTTTCATCTCGCTTATGGGGTGTTTGTTAGATGTGATGCGCATGTGGATTGAAAAGCAAACATTGCAGCAGATATCACAGAAGGATATTATTTGTATGTAATGCTTTGATTTATCCTGATTATAGCACTCTGCAGGAGATACATCCGCCACTGGATGGCGCACAAGGACTTTATTGGACTCGTGGAAACGCTTGTTTAAATCTGAAATTAGTAACATATAGGCCACCATGCATGCTGAATGTGCCATGCAACAGCTGCGTTAAACGCTGCAACCCCTTTCATTTCAGATTAATCAGGGAGTGACATGAGAAACTCACAGCATATAACAGACATATGAGAGCCAGGGATCTCTGCAGTCCCCAGGGGCCCCGAGCTCACTACATCGAACTGATTCATATGTAAACAAAACCATAAATCCACGCATGTGCTCTTAATCGAAGGATCCAGTGGGGAGTCCTGTTGCAGTGGCTACACACAAAGAATGGGCGTGAGTTGTCCCTCGAAAGGGAGCCCAGAGACCCTTGCTGTTTTAGCACCAGCGATCTGAGTGCTCACTTCACAGTCTGCGAGAGGCAGCGCGCATTACAGCGGGATGGATGGCACAGGTAGGTCGTGATTTACCTTTTCTCCACAGAAATGCCTGCAAAGTGCTTGTTTCACCATAAAGCGCGAGGGGAAAGGGATGGCTTTAACAGTATTTTCCTTGGACATGGTGACCAAGTGTTGCCTTTAGTTACAATTAGCAGAATTAGTTGATTTGATAACTACGGGACAAATCAAAGATGGGCATTTTTAGATATGTTATTTCATGGCAGCGACTGCCTTTCATTTTACGCACGATTGCCGTTTTTACGCAGATAGAAAATACTCAAGTTTAAAGTCTAAACTGTGTGAAATTGTTTTCCCACTGCTGTCTGATACGAGCATTCTGATTTTGTGTCTTAAATCATCAGGATTTACAACAACAGTTGTCTGAATACTCTCCCCAAATCAACTAAGACGCCCAGGAGGGAGGGGAGTCACAGCCGGAACGCGTCTGTGTGTCAGAGGCTGTTTGAGAGAGTGAGGCAGCATCACAGCTAGAGGAAGAGAGAGAGAGAGAGAGGAAGAGAAATCTGGACCAGGTGATCGAGTACTAACAAACCTCCAAGGGGCTGCCGGGTTGTATCAGTGTGCACGGGATCAGCGGACCGACCATGGTGCCCGCACGCTGCCCGGGACCCTGTGCCTCCCTGGCACTGGTCCTCCTCTTGGGATGCGGCGTGGTTTTCTGCGGCCAAAACGACACGGAGCCCATCGTGCTGGAAGGGAAGTGTCTCGTGGTGTGCGACTCGAACCCCTCTTCGGACGGGGTCACTTCCTCACTTGGCATATCAGTCCGCTCCGCTGGCGCAAAGGTGGCTTTCTCCGCCGTGCGTGGAACCAACCACGAGCCATCAGATATGAGCAACACGTCTATGACCATCTACTTTGACCAGGTCAGATATTCGTTGAATTAAAGACTAGCATAATTCCGGCAAAAGTCGAAAAATAAATCAGATATGTTAGCTCCATTGCATCTTTATTTATTTATGTCTAGCATGTATTTGCCGTGGGCGATAAGGACGAGTTAAAGGTTATGTTTCATTGATTTCCTATCACTGCTCTCGCTCTGTGTGATCTGAGCCCTGAGTATCTCTAACCTTAAGAACATAATCCTGTTTTCCTTTGAAAATGATTCATTGGATGCTGTGCGTAATTGACGCGATCCAGAGACGCGCTGTCAAAGGGAATGGTAATCCATGCAGGATCATTGATCACAGGCGAGGCCACGGCCGCATTGACAGGTGCTTTGTGTTGCTTTTTCTCGGATGTTCCACTTCGTTGTCACGGCTCAGGTCTTTGGACAGCGGCCTGTTATACGCATCACATTTGGAACCATCCCAAAGTGCAGCCTTAAGACATTTGGCACGCCAGAATCAGAATGCCTCTCAGTAAAGTCACAAAAAAAGATTGCTACAAATCCAGCTGTTGTGTTAAATGAAGCATGCAGATGGTTACATAAATAAATATCTCATGTCATGCCTTTCTTGGTCACAGGTTTTAGTGAACATCGGCAACCATTTCGATCTCAAAGCAAGTGTGTTCCTGGCTCCGAGGAGGGGGATCTATAGTTTCAGCTTTCACGTGGTGAAGGTGTACAACAGACAAACCATACAGGTGAGCACTAATGAAACAAATGGTCTGCGTTTAGCCTCTGATAGATCCTGAGACTAAAGTGCCCCTCTCCTGCAGGTGAACTTGCTGCAGAATGATTATCCGGTGATATCAGCCTTCGCCGGGGACCAGGACGTGACGAGAGAGGCGGCCAGTAACGGAGTACTGCTGATGGTGGAGCGCGAGGACCGTGTCTCTCTGAAGCTGGAGCGAGGCACCTTAATGGGCGGATGGAAATACTCCACCTTCTCAGGCTTTCTAGTCTTTCCTCTATAATCTAATCGGCGATTATCCACGTCGCACGGGACTCTGCCTAGGTTGAGGAAACAAAAAGAAAAAACGAAAAAAAACAACATGCCATTTATTTTCAACTTAAATAACTGTCAGCCAAGGAAGCCGACGAATATCTGTATACCTACACTCGTCCACTATCTAGTCAAATATGAACGTTTCCTTGGAGTTTCATATATTCAAATCCATCAGTCAACTTCTACGCGATCTGGATGATTTAACGTGATGATCGGCCACTGCTTGTCCGGAATGTGGATTTTTTTTTTCTTGCTTGGGAAAACAAAACTTTGCCAACAGACAAACGGGTGGGCAAAACGGACAAGGGAGAAGATGGAGAG